CGGCGGCGGCAGGGATGGCTCGACAAGCTGCTGCCCGACCTGCAGAAGCAGATTGACAAGGGCATCAGCTTCGTCAAGTAGACCGGAGAGCGACCCCCTACCTCCCCTCGCCGCGCGGGAGAAGGCCGCCCTGAGGGCTCTCTCCCGCGGGCGGCAGAGCGCCTGCGCCCTCTCCGGACCTCGCCCCCCGTCGCCGCGCGTCGCATGAATCAAATTCATGGCATGAACGCTGGGGCCTTTCGCCTTTCGGCGTGTGTGGGCAGGGGCAGCCTGGGGAGAGCGTGTGGTGCCGGCGAGTTCGACGTACATTGTCCTCTCTCTCCGTACGCTCATCGCTCTCTCTCCCGTCCGCTCGGCTCTGCCTCTGTCCCGTCGGGCTGTTTTTATTTTGCAAAAACTCGCGGGAGCAAATCTCGCTCACGTCGCTCGCGCGTGGCTCGTGTCTCGCTCGTCGGCTCTTCGCGAAAGATGAGCTCCTTGGTCTGGGCTTCTGCGTTCTGGGCGATTGTGTGTCGTGTGTGTCCGCGGGAGTTGGTTTGTCGGGAGGGAGGGGCAGGCTGCTCACCCACGTGCCACGAGCCACGGGCCGAGGTTACTTTTTGAGACTGGGAACCGAGCAAGTGCGCTCGCCGGTCCAAAGTGGGGTCGCGGGTGGCCATGCGAAGTGGTTTCGCGCACTGCCCGCTGTAGCCCCCCCGAGGCGCCGGAGCGTGACCGAGTGTCGCCCCATGACCCCCGGCGCCGGCCCGAGCGCTGAGACCGAATGTGAAGCCAATGCGCGTGCGCCCCAAGCGCGGCACTCCTCGGCTACGGCATGCTGACACGGATCCCTATCCTCTCAGATTGCTATCGATCGGCGATATTGGATCTCGCACGCGACGTCGACGACTGACAAGGTAAACGCACTTTGTCAATGTGCAGGTCGAGCTACAACCGTTGCGGAGCGGTTCAGCCTCGGAAGCCATACTATGGTGAGGCGGGGATTAGGTGGGAGGGCATGCGCTCGCACACATGAGTCCGGGAGAGCTCCCCGCCGGCGCTTGGTGCCCCAGCCAGCTCCGCCTTGCCGCGGCCCCTACGCAGGCGTCCAGCACCGACATCGTTTGCGAGCGTCGGGTGTTGGCTACTCTCTAGCCCCGTCACCCACCGCGCCGTCACCGGCCGCTTCGCGGCGTGCGAAACGCTCGCGTCTCCGCCACCGCTGGCCACCTCCGCGTTTCCCTGCGCCGCCACCAGGGGGACGCTTGCGCCTTGCCCCCTGGCCTGACGCGCGACCCTGCGCAGACGGCGCGCTCCGGCACGGAGCAGCGACCGCCCAGGCAGTCGCTGCTCCGCCCGCGCACCGCTGCCGCCGTCGCCGCCGCCGCTCCGCCCTTTCCATCAGTGTGTCTCGTGTGTGAGAGTGTGCTGTCTGTCACGCTTGTACCTGCGAGCTGCGTCTCTCCTCCGAGGCTCAGGCTGTGTCTCCTCTCATAGATCTGTCAACGAACCGCTGTCGCACATCTTTGAGTCAAACTCTCTCCTGTCGGTGTCGAGGCTGTCGCGTGTCGTGTGCGCGCGGCGATTGTAACCCGGGAGGCCTGCGCAGCTTCTAACGATGCACAAAAACGGGCCACACAAATGCCGTAAAGGACAGGCGTGGGACGTGAGGAGACGCGCGGCCGACACCGCCCAGCAGCGGCTCTGCGGAGACACACACAGGAAGGCGCACGATGCGTACAGTGATCGCCTGTCATGCGCCATCACCGACGTCGGGCGGGAGAGGAGCTCCAGCCAACAGTAGTGGCGAGCCAGTTTGCGCTGCACGATGAAATAGTACTCGTGCTGACGCATCCTCGCCCGAGTCATATTCCAAATGCCCTGCGACAGCCCGCGTGCGACGGGAAGAAGAGGTGCGAGGCTGCGAAACTAAGAGCTTGATCGCGCCTCCAACGTCAGCGTCGGGCGCAGTGACGAGCTCGAGCAGCTCTCGTCGAGCAAGCTCCGCCTCCGAGCTCTCGCAGCAGCCATGCGCGTGCGCGCAGCCCAGGATCTCGCTCAGCGCCTCCGTCCTGGGGTTTGAAGCAGGTCCGCCGTAGCGCTCCACGCCTGCGCCGGCGGCGGGCGGTGTAGAAGGCCGCTCGCGATGGCTCCGTCGTGTGCGTCGACCGTCCCACCTCAAGTGGTGACTATCCTCGCTGTCGCGTGGCCGCTTGGGAGCGGCGCCGACGCTGCCGTTGAGTCTGTCCGTGGCCGCCGCGTCACTCGGCACGGAAGCCTCCTTGCCGGTGGACATGCCGGGGGGGCGTGAGGGCCTGGAGGGTGACACAGACGCGCAGGGGAGCGCGCGCCGCCGAAGTGGTTTGGCGCACACCTCGACGAGGAGGGTGGCCACCCCTCGGTTCCCAGCCTGAAGAAGTGGCCTCGGCCTGCACACCGTTGAAAATCATCGGAATGTGAGAATGGTCCGCGTTGGGGCCGCTCCTTCCTGTCGTCTGGGTGCGGAGACCGGAGTCTGGAGATGCGAGTTTTGCCACCTCTTGCCCCACCACTTTGTGTAGGTAGGTAGGAACGTTCGAATGGTGTTTCTTACCAACAAAGAATTCGCGGCCGCGCTTGCCTAGGCGATCACCTCGCCGCCAGGCGGCCGATGCCTCGTCCCGTCAAGCGCAGGAGGAGCGCCAGGGTGCGTGCTGCGGAGCAAGCCCCGCCCCTTCCCACCCCAGCCGGCCCCACCGCCACACTCCCCGCGCCTCGCCGACGCAGGCGGCGGTGGCGGCCAAGGCCTTCATTAGAGGTGCGGCTCCCGCCACCTCGGCTGCGACTGGGCCACCCCGCAAGCAGCGCGGCGCCGAAACGACGGCGAGACGCGGTGTGCTCCTCCGCTGGGTCTGCCGCGTCGCGCGGCACGGCTCCGGCGCCCGCGGCGCCTCGTGCCGCCGGCTGGTGCTCAAGTCATTTGAGCTCGTTTCGATGCCGTCCACGCAGAGCTGCTCCGTCGAGGAGGCCGCAGCGGACGCCGACGCGCCGGCCATCGCGGCCAAAATCCTGGCGCGGTCGCCCAACCTCCGCCCCGGCGCGATCGTCACGGCCGTCGTCCCGCTGGCCGCCGTGCCTGCCCCCAGCGATGGCTGGTGAGGCGCTAATTAGCAGCTCGCAATTAGAGGCGCGAGGAGGCGCGCCCCTGCGATTTTCTTGGCGAGCCGGCAGCGAGCGGCCCGTTGGACCCTGCGTCACAACCGCAGCAATCGAACTGTCCCCTACCCAGATATTGGCCCGCGATGCGGGGCGAGGACAAAACACTCTCCGTCTCGACTCTGCACTCTTGAACAACACTCTGTCGTGTCGCATGTCTCATGGCATAATCCACGAGGCATTTTCCATCCGCGTATACGTGTGTGTAGTGTCACTCGGTATTTTTCTTCAAAGGCTAACAGGTGGCGGGCCGGCGGCAGGCGAGAGTACGCCGCCGCGCCGCCGGCCGGCCGGCGGGCCGCGGCGCCGCGTGTGGGCCGAGCGTGCGCTCGCGCTGCGGGTAAAAAAGTCAAGCCGGGGGCGCGCGCGGCCCGCGGGACCTCTGGGGACACGCCGCGTCCTCTCGCTAGACTCGCTAACCGTTCGCTACAGTGTACACAGACTACACGCAACACGCCGTAACACCTAAGGTCCTAACACGGTGGTGCGGTGTGATATCTCTTTTGTCGTGGACACCGTCTCTCGACGACGAACGTGGGGACCACACGCCGCGACCTCTCGCTAGACTCGCTGACCGTTCGCCACAGTGTACAGACTACACGTAACACGACAGCGAGGTCAGGTCACAGGTTGAGGGGACACCCCTACGATGTCGAGCGACTCCTCCTGGCCGATCGTGTGCACGAACGTGCACGGACGCGCTGCGGCAAAGGCCAAAGCGGAAAGCGCCAGCTGAGACGTGACAGGTCCTCCTCTCTCGAGCTTTCGTCGATCGAGAGCGAGGGGAGCGGTGCGTGCGCTGCGGCTCACGCAGAGGCGCGCGCAAGCGAGGAGCGCAAGAGCGCGCCGCAGGG